ATGCTGACGAAGATGGCATTGAACTTTACCCGCTGCTCCTCGGGAAACGGCTGCAGCGCCTTGAGGGAATTGAAGTCGGCGCGAACTGCATCCCAAAGTCCCTTGCTCGCCTTCTGCTTCGCAAACGCACCACGAAGCTCCATGTCCTTCCACGCGTTGGGGTATTCGATGCAAAAACTCTCAAAGTCTCTCTTTGCCAGTGCTAAGTCGTTTGCCTCGAGGCGGATCCGCACAATCGTGTGCCGGATGTCGTACGTATGTTCGATGCCGTAATAGTCGTTGTCCAGCACATGATTGATGAGTTCCAGCGTGCCCGTGTAGCCGCGTGAGCGCTCCCACTGCTGCCACAGGATGGACTCGACCCATGTGCTTTCAACCAGCCAGCCGTCGCGCTGGCTGAAGCGGCACATGGTATCCAGAACCTCGAGTGCGGCGTAGTTGTGCGACTTGATCACGCAGTCAACCGCGAGGTCGCACATTTCCCTGGTCTGGAAGTTCGGTCTCAGGCTCTGGTACGATGAAACGAACGTGTCGATGGCCAGCGTGTATTCGTTGTGTTTGGCCAGCTGGCAGATGAACCAGGTCGTGTCAGAGAGCTGGGCTCTTGCAATGTACTTGACTCTGCCAAAGACTTCCGTAATGAGGGTGCTGCGCTGCAGTTCCAGAGCCCTGGAAATCACATTCTTGCCCATTGCGATGTATTGCTGGCGCACACGGGAGGGGGCCTGGTCGATATCGGCAATGTCGGCCAAGTACAGCCTCCTGATCTGTCTGATGTGATCCGTCCGCGCAGTTTCCCCGGTAAATTTCTCCAATATGAGGGCCTCCATAAGCTCCATTGGCCGGTGCGCCAAGTAGTCGCCCAGACTGATCGGTCCATGGTTGACAATGATCCGCAGAATCTCCCCGGCGTCCGTGTAGTGGCCCTCCTGCTGGCATGCGATACACAATAGCGTAGATAACTTGATGAGCCAGTCGGGAGGTTCCCGAGAGTCGGCGACGGAGGCTTGTGCTCGACGCACCAAGTCTACGGCCGCAGTTGGCGCATACTGGTTTGGATCTGACGGCGAATAGCGGGGTCCGTCCACATTCCCCAGGTGAGGATTATCTCTCAAGAACTCATCGAGCGTGTGGGCAAGCCTTCTCGTCGGCGCAATGGGCTGGAAAGGCTGAAATTGCGACTTTCTGGCTGCCGCAGCAGGTCTTTGATGTCGGGGCTCCCCTGATGAGCGGGACACCGGCGCCGTTCCGTCGGATTCTTTCTGCTCCTTCTTTTCTTTCGGGCGTGTTGGCCGTCGGGGGTCGGGCCCAAGCCCCTGTGAAGCTTCGTACAGCTCGGCGGAAGATCGGCTCTTCGACCTTCTTGACCAGCCCGAGAAGTCTGGGTCGGTTCGGACTTCCTCCTGCAATGCCTCGATCGTGGCTCGCCCGTTGGTGCTATACCGTTTCAAGGACTTCAACTTCCGCCCATTCTCGACGGCGGACCGAGCAATCTTTATGCGTTGGCGCCGCTCCTCTGCCACCAAGACGAGCGAGCATGACGTCCCAAAGAGAAGGCCTCGCAGCGCATGGAGAGCGGCCTTGGAGGGGACTGGTGGGGGTGCAGACATTGCGCGAGCTCGACAATGTCCATGACCGATTCGGTTCGTCTATCGACTCATCTCGGAGGGCATGCGATCAATCGTTCGGGCGTGGGCGTCGTGGTGCAGCAGGAGCATGCCAATCGGCTGTTGGGAAGCACCAGGCAAATATCGAGAGACCCTTGTCGAGACCAGAATTATCGTACCATCGCCTAGCTGCCCTCGGTCGCGCTGCTCCGGGCCGCGGTGGTGGTGAAAATTCACCGGCACAGTAATTTTCCGGTGCCGTGCCGAAACCCAGGCGGTCGGTCACAGGCGCGGTGCCCTGCAGACTGCCGCAGCAACCCCACTGCGTTTCCCAGTCCTTTGCACCACTCCACGCTGCAACCCTCCCAAGCGAAGCCGAATGAGGTGTCATTGAGTCGGCAAGTCAACTTGCAGTTCTTGCAATGGAGCCTCTAATTAAATGTCTAGACGATACCAGTGAGAGCGATGGTCCTGTTATAGCCGGTCATTCAGCACCCAAAATGGCTTCATCCATGCCTTTGGTATTCTTTAACTTGATGGTAAGGTGAGTAGCTACGGTTTGCAGACGTTTCCAGGTGCTTTGGATATCTTTATGTTGCCGTTGTACGGTCTTGCGCTTCGTATGCACCAGCGAGCCGGTGATAATGCCTGCTCACCGGCGGGATAGCTCTAGCTATGTGTAATGACACTTGGATGACCTTGGCATCAGCAAATAAGACAGGAACGCCAGCATCCAGAACAGCAGTTCTGGCCTCGTTGACAACGTTGACTGTGTTGTGCGGGCTCACGTATCAATCCCTAAGGCAAGGAGAAAGTTGCTCCGACTGCTTATGAATCCAGCTTGTCCAAACTAGCACAGTTGCCATGTAGTTCCATTCGCCGCCTCAATCGGGCCTGCAGCCGGACCCCGTTAGCGCCTCAATAGGTATGCGAGACCATACACAATGCGAAGAATGCGAAGAGCACAATCCGAAAGCCCCTCCATGTTCGGGATTAAGACCGGTGTTTAACCAAACCACGAAGCAAGGTCATCCACTGCCGTGGCTGGGTCTCTGTGCAGGGCCTTGTTACATGGCACACGCGAGCTGGAGCATCACGGACTTAAGGCCGGTGCAGGAGCTAACTCTAAATGCCCACATATCCAATGGGACTACCGCCTGCTTGAAGGCACTCGTCGAGCAATGATGAGATCACCCGCAACTGGATCTACAGCCTGCATTGCCGGCTGGGGCTGGTCCACGGGTGCGCCTCCAAGCGGCCAGTTGCACAGGTAGCGACCCGTAGTCGGTTTCGCGTCCAAGTGGGAAGGAAGCAAAGAGCGGTATAAGTTTCAACCCCTCCTTCCTCTTGGATGCCCTCTCCTCACATCGCCAATTCGGCTCTTGAACATCACCGCTTCACTTTGAATCAACTTCACCCATCACACCTCATTTTCCCTCATCCTTTGCAACATCAACTTACACCTCCAGCACTGCACCCCAGCCGCCACACTCATCATGTCCGCCCTACCTATGGCAGCCCCCCCCAAGACCCCTCTGGGTCGCTACCGCATGCTCTCTCCTACGGCCTCCGTTCGAGTGAGCCCTCTCTGCCTCGGCGCAATGAACTTTGGCAATGCCTGGGAGGGTTACATGGGAACGTGTGACCAGAAGACCGTCGAGGGCATTCTCGACTTTTTCTACGACCAGGGCGGCAATTTCATCGATACCGCCAACAACTACCAATTCGAGGAGTCCGAGGCCTGGATCGGCGAGTGGATGAAGAAGAGAGGCGTCCGCGACCAGATGGGTACGATTGTCGAGCTCATCACCAGTTCCTCACTAACACAGCTCTAGTGATCGCGACCAAGTACACCACCAACTTCAAAGCCGGACCGGGGGCCCCTAACATTATGGCCAACTTCACCGGCAATGGATCCAAGAGCTTGCACACATCCGTCGAGGCGAGTCTTCGGAAGCTGCAAACCAGTTACATCGACCTCGTGAGTTTCGAAATCTCGAGTTGCCAAGTGACGTCACTGATTCGCGCCTAGCTCTATGTGCACTGGTGGGATTATTCCACGTCGATCCCAGAGCTGATGCAGTCCCTGAACCATCTCGTGGTGACGGGCAAGGTTCTCTACCTGGGCATCAGTGACACTCCGGCGTGGGTTGTCAGGTACGTGAGGCGCAGCATCGGATAGAAGACACTACTGACGCCCACGCAGCAAGGCAAATGAATACGCCAGGAACCATGGCCTTCGTCAATTCTCGGTCTACCAGGGCCGGTGGTCTGCTGCCTCTCGCGACTTCGAGCGTGAGATCATCCCAATGACCAAGGCCGAAGGCATGGGCCTGGCCCCCTGGGGTGCTCTGGGCGGCGGCGCTTTCAAGACGGAAGAGCAACGCAAGTCCCAGGAGGGCCGCAAGGTTCAGGCCAGCGAAGCGCAAATCAAGATCAGCCAGGTGCTGGAGAAGATTGCCAACCGCAAGGATACCATCATCACCTCCATCGCGCTCGCATACGTCATGCACAAGACGCCTTACGTCTTCCCCATCGTCGGCGGACGTACCGTCGACCATCTGAAGCAGAATGTCCAGGCGCTGACGCTCAACCTGAGCGACGAGGACATACAAGAGATTGAGGCGGCTGTACCGTTCGACATGGGATTCCCTCACAACTTCCTGTGGGGAGAGAAGGCCCCGTCGGCCCCTGGAGAAGTCTGGCTGTTGAACATGGGAGGAACCTTTGATTACGTCCCCGAGCCCAAGGCCATAGCGCCCAAGGAAGGACAGTAGAGCTGGAGAATCAGGTCTCACCGCACGAGATGGCGCCCGACGGACTACTGAATGTGTATGATAAGTGGGATGGGCATACTAGCACCAAAAAATGAAGCCATGACAACGCATTATACTTTTTTTCGGATTGTTTGAAGGCATGTGTTTCGGAAGTATGAGAGTGTCGTTGACATTGTGTTTGGGGGCCTTGAGCCTCCCGCCGATCGATCTGGAAGTGGAAACTGCATGTCAGATTTTGGTCATTGGGGCACACAAGTTCCATCTGCCCTCGCACGATAAGTGTATAGAGCAGATTGGCTTACAGTCGATTTGATACATAAATATCCGCCGCCTTAATAGCACTTGGGAGCAGACGCCATGCTAGTTGCTCTGTACTGGACACCGCATGGCTCCTTCCTGACGCAGCACTAAGCACTTCCTTCCTCCTCGGCAGGCAAGCACCGCCTGACAGGGTACCTTCCAACTTCAAGTTCGAAGAGCAGACTCTTTATGACAGGCGTTTTGTCGTCTGCAACTACATGTCATAGGATCAGGCACAATTTGCCCGCCATATCACAATGCCTATTTGACACTCATCTTACATGGGTTTGATATGAGAGACCACTCTTCTCTCATTATGCGCCGCCAATCTGAGCGCCCCCGTGGCCGCACCCTCAAAACTTATTCGAAGAAACCCCAGAGCCGCAGGTCCCTTGGCGCAGAAATATACCGCGACTTGACGGCTGGCAATAACTCTAGGGTTTCGAGCGGCGACGAATCATCCATCCGGGGAACTCCACCTATTGTCGGTCATCGCACCCCTTCAGCATCGTAAGTTAGCCACGAGCAGAATTTGGGCCTGAAGACTGACAGTATGAAGGTTTCGAAGGGATGAAGAGAGCTTGCCTAAGACCAAGGAGAGTGTCGCACTTACACCCGAAGAAACACACCATGACAGAGTTCAGCGTACCAAAGACCCCTATCACATTCAGACCTCGTCCATCAGCCTAGAAGAAGCTTCATCGCAAGATGATGACGATTCATCATCGAGGGACCAACAGTCGCAATCCGATAGCTCGCAAAATTCGAGCGTCACATCCGTCGGACGAGGCGCTACACACTCGGCCATCAAAACGGAACCACGAGACTCGCCTGAGGCCTTTCCCGATGTGATGGTCCGGAGTCATGTTCCACAGCTTCATCTTAAAACTGAAGGCTCTCCATTTCAGAGGCGGAAAAGAAAGAGAGCAGAGTCTCCCTTTGGGTCTGACTTCTTGGTGGCCCACCAGCCGCGACGGTTTAACCAACAAGAAGGTAGATGACGTCGATGCGATGCTATAAAGATATGCTGACATTGCCGTAGCTTGGAAGGAACCTGATAGTTCAAAGAAACGAAGTCTTCCCGTTGTGTTCGGCCCTAGAACGCCTAGTCCCGTCAAGATGCAGGGGCGCCGGAAAGTTGCAGAGATACACCCACAAGATTATAAAGTGTTGCCATCTGCGTCCCCAGTTATGCCGACCCTTCAGCGGGGTGTTCGAGACGGATTCGAACGCCGCGAGGTTCCGAAGTTCAGCAAACACTACTTCGATGGCAAGCGGCGAAGAAGGCCACCCCCAACACCCGGCCTTGGGTCGCTTCTGAGTGCCGAGAAATCGAGGGAGGTAGCTATTCTTAAGGAAGGACCAGGAACTAGAAAGACAGTGTCAGATCCCGCCAACGCGTATCTCATGTCTGGGGGGATACTGGACGAGCCTCAGGAAGCATCTCGCACAGAGTCGATGGCCTCTTCTAGCAATCGGAATGCTGATGTACGGCCTTGCGTCGAACGGCTTGCCAGTCATGTCTCCCACTCGGGCAACCCATACGACGATGGCAACCTCGAGAATGATGGAGCTGTGAGCGAAAATACCGGCTTGGAGATGAAGCGGTTGCATGGCCAAGGAAGCTCTTGGGTGGCCACGACAGACAACTTTGTCCTGCGAGAGACCGGTCCAACTACCCGACGCTCTTCCAAGACTACAAGCGAGCCCCAATTATACCTGGACGAGCGAGACACTCGTCCACCTATCCGCGACGCCCCCAATGCTTCGGGGGAGTTGAGTCTGTCACATCTAACCACCAAGGCTGGGCCCTTTGAATTTTTTAGAACGTGAGACAGCAAATAGTATCATGAGAAAGGCGCAATTTGTGGAAGACAGATGGAATATCGGAGAAGAAAAATGATTGCACTACGTCAAGGAGCTAATGGCAGCCAACCTCCAGACAATGAGCTCGATGCAGATGGATTTGTACAATCATTGCGGCTTCGCGCCTAATACAAGAGGTATCTTCTGATATAATACATACCAGGCTTTTCCGTAACCCTCCCGGTCCGTGAAAACGAACTTGCTTGCATATGGAAACCGCCTCAAACGCCATGCGCCACAGAATCCTTCGAATATCAACAGGTGATTCAAGCATTGAAGTCAATCATTTCGCGCCCTTGGGCTTGGCCTCCGCGTCACCAAGCTCGCGGACGAAAACGCTGGCCTTACCCTCGGCGCTGTAGTCCTCCATGCCTGTCTCGAAGCCAGGGCAGACGCCGATGGCGAGATACTTGCCGTCCTTGGAGAATGCAAGCGCAGCAACGCTGTCGGGGAACTTTTGGTACTGCTTCATCCTGCGCTTGGCCTCGGCGTCCCAGAGCGCAACGGTGCCGTCGCCACCGCCAGAGGCAAAGGTGCCATACACCGGGTGGAAGATCATGGCATTAACCGGGTAGACAATGTCGCCCTCGCCCTCGGCGGGCGCAGCTTGGCGATGGCACTTGAAGGCGTACTTGCGCGCCTGCGACTCGGCTGAGTCCTCGAACCACTCAACGGCGACACGCCCCTCGATGCTGCTGGTGGCGTAGCCGGCGTCGTTGGGCATGCAGGAGACGGCGCGGGTCAGGAACTTGAGGGAAGACTCGCGCTGCTGCCAGGGCTTGATCTCGTGGGGTCCGGGCTGCGAAAAAAGGGCGGGCACGGCGCTGATGTCGTAGATATTGACCAGACGGGCCGTCATGGCGACGACAACCTTGGACGGGCTGACGGCCAGGGCGTGAGGCTTGCCCGGCAAGTGGACAGTAATGTTCGGGTCGGAGGGGGACTTTGCGTTGTGGATTTGCAGGGTCTGGTCCCAGGACGCGGAGATGAGCAGGGCTGCAGGGCGTGTTAGCTGGGCTGTGTGACGGAAAGGGACTGTGACGTACAGTGCTCCTGGCTGTACGCGACGCATCGCGCGGGCGCGGTATGTTGGGAGACTACGGACTTCTCTCCCGACTCCAGATCGACCCTGTCATGATCCGTCAGCAGGGCGCTCCTCCAGGAACGTTCAATTGCCGTCGTACCGGTAAACACAGTGGTCCAAGCACGCCGTGTAGGCCTCGTTGTCTGTCGCGCCGAAGCATACATCAAGGACGGGGGCGCGGAACTCGACGGTCGTAATCAGAGTGCCCTGCGCATCTTCGCTGCCGCTGTGTGTGTCGTAGAGGTAGATTTTCTTGTCCCAGCACGAGACGAGTAGCCTGGTCGGTGAGTCGGGCGCATACGCGAGCGCGGAGATGGCATCGCTGGGCGGCTGCGCCAGCTCGAATTGGGATGCTGCCTGGCTGTCAGTCCTTTGAGTCGTCTCGCAGAGTCAAATACGCCCTCAGCACTCACCAGGTGCCATGTTGACGTTGTAAATCGGACCAAGCTGCAGCTCTTGACCTCTACGGAGCTAGGATGGGAGCTTCGGTGTGATGTTTACATTGGCAAACTGGTTGGAGGGGCGCTCACGTGTCGATAAGCGAAGAAGCAGCTTATCGGGCGAATCAGCGCCGTTTTTGCCGGGGACCACCGCCCGCGGGCCGCACCCCCACCATTGTCGGATTTCTGCGATTTTGTGAACCGCAAAGTAGCAAAATTGTGACTCGATCGCCCAATCACCAACGCAACTCTGCTCACCCAAAGAGGCCAACTTTTTTGACGCCGCCCCGAGCAATCGATCCGTACCCCGCGTCAGCGACTCGAACCCACGACGACAAGGCAGAATATCCCGCCGAGCACAGAGGAAACAAGCTGTCTCCCAGAGCAACTTGTAGGAACGTGTAAAAAGCCCGCGCGCCTCCCATCGCACCCCGCCCCTCCTCCACACCTCTCTCGATACCTTCGACTCCCCCGTCGACCACCACCACCACCACCAAACACAACGCCCTCGACGACTTCGAGAACCAGCAGTCAAGATGGCGGAACCGAACTACAGCCACTTTCGATACTTCGAAAACAAGTATCCCGAGATCGACGAGTTCGTCATGGTCAACGTAAAGCAGGTTAGTCGCCCCGCTGCCCAACGCACCACCGCATCGGACCCGATACAGCCGCCGGCCCCCGTTTGGAGGAGATGATGGAGCAACGCCGTCTGACAGGAGGATAGATTGCCGAGATGGGTGCCTACGTCAAGCTCCTCGAGTACGACAATATTGACGGCATGATTCTGCTTTCCGAACTCTCGAGACGTCGTATCAGAAGTATCCAGAAGCTCATTCGCGTCGGCCGCAACGAGGTCGTTGTTGTCCTCCGTGTCGACAAAGAGAAGGGATACATTGATCTCAGCAAGCGCCGTGTGTCGCCGGAGGATATCATCAAGTGCGAGGAGCGGTACAACAAGGGCAAGATGGTCCACTCCATCATGCGCCACGTTGCCGAGAAGACCCTCACCCCCATCGAGCAGCTTTATGAGACTATCGCATGGCCCCTTAACAAGAAGTACGGTCACGCGATCGACGCCTTCAAGCTGTCCATCACGTAAGTTGGATCCAAAGAGTCCGTTCAGCTGGCACAATCACTGACCAAACCGGGCGCAGCAACACCGAGGTCTGGAACGACGCCACCTTCCCCAGCGAGCCTGTCGCCGAGGAGCTCAAGTCATATATCGCGAAGCGTCTCACCCCTCAACCCACCAAGGTCCGTGCCGACGTCGAGGTCACATGCTTCGGATACGAGGGTATCGACGCCGTCAAGACCGCTCTGCGTGTCGCCGAGTCCCGCAACACCGAGCAGACCCAGGTCAAGGTCAGGCTCGTGTCCCCGCCCCTGTACGTCCTCACCAGCACATGCTTGGACAAGAACCTCGGTATCACTCGCCTCGAGGAGGCCATTGTCGACATCCGGAACAGTATCGAGGCGGCCGGCGGCTCGCTGGTCGTCAAGATGGAGCCCAAGGCCGTCACCGAGAGCGACGACGCCGAGCTGCAGGCCCTTATGGAGAAGAGAGAGCGTGAGAACGCCGAGGTCAGCGGTGACGAGAGTGTCTCGGAGAGCGACGACAACCCGGAGGTTTAGATTTCAACGGTCAAGGCAAACAAAAAAGGGGGCGGCTGGTAGAATGAGCGTACTGGCAGCTGGGAATCCGGAGTGATTCTAATGAGACGACCAAAAAAAGTACCCATTACTTCACGTGTTCCCCAGGGTGTCATGAGTGCGGAAAAAGTGCTGCCTACGTTAGCAGGCCATTGTTATCGGGCATCGCAAGTCGGCGCGAGGCTGCCCAACATGAAGGCGTTGGGAAGGATCCGGGTCGAGCTGTTGGGTATGATGATGGCATGAGCAACGATGAGGGACTCCCCAAAGATAGCACGCATTATTCCAATAGACCCCGGCGTTGACAATACATCATAGGCGTTTGAACATCTACATGGGGACGATGACAACAAAATGATCTATATGCTCGGTCTATGACGGAATCTAACGGAGAGCTCTCTACTGCTTGCTAAAGCTTCCTTCGGTCCACCCGCCATCAACGTACCATGTGGCTTTGTTGACGAACCTCCCCTCCGGCCCGAGCAGGAATGCGATCGACGCCGCAACCTCCCAGGGTTCGGCCAGACGTCTAGTCAGGCACGGCTGGTCTTCCGCGGTGAGCCAGAACTGTCCGCTGGGGCTGTTGAACGGCTTGTGCATCATGTCCGTGTCGATGCAGCCCCTGAGTGAGTGGTTCAGTGAATTGTCCCTTCTCGAGTGAATCCAAAAGGGAGCACTTACGGACACAGAGCGTTCACGCGGATGCCTCTATTCGCACCCTCGAATGCGGCCACCTTGGTTATGCCAAGGAGAGCATGCTTGCTGGAGACGTAGGCTGAGACGCCCGCCGAGGCGTAGTTGCTCGTGATGCTGCCGACGTTGACGATGCTGCCACCGTCTTTCATGTTGCGCATCTCCTCCTTCATGCAAAGGAAGGTGCCAAAGACATTGGTTACGAGTATTTCCTTGAAGTACTCCTTGGGTAGGTCCGTAATGGGAAAGATCTCTCGTTGCTCACGGGCTATGCATGTCAGTTGCTTTCCGACGCTTCGAGAGAAGGGAATACAGACCAGCAACATTTGCCGCCCCGTCCAGCTTGCCAAACTTTTCGACAGTCTCATCGATCCAGGCCTTGACCATGTCATGCTCCTGGATGTCGACGACCTTGGTCATGACTCTGCCCTTGACGTCGGGAATGTCCTTCTCGATGCCTTCCAGCGCCTTGGCGAGGTTCTCCGCTGTGGTGGCGCACATGGACACCTTGGCGCCGCGGATGAGGAGGTAACGAGCCAGGGCAAGACCCGTGCCGCGGCTGGCGCCCGTCACCGCGATGACCATGTCCTTGAAGGGGTAAGGGTCCGCCATCTTGTGTTCTCTTTGTCTGGAGAGGGAGGGGAAAAGGGGGGCTCCGCGGGGAGAGAGAAATGATATGTGATTAGAGGGATGCTCGGCAGAACAATGTGATACTCAGCCGAAAAGATCTCGGGGACCTGGCAGCGGCAAGAATCAAGGGTTTAAGGAGAAAGGGGGAATGATCTGGCCTGGGAACGAGGGAGGGAAACGGAAGACGAGATGGGAATCATTAAATCCTCGAAATGGTACATGGTCTGGACGATCCCGCCTCCCCGGACGGTTGTCGCGACCCATGAACCGCATTCCGATTTCGTGGTGGATGTTTGCTACTCGACCCTGGTCTTTGCTGGCCAAGAGACTCATGATCTTGGGGTCGACGGCATATGCATGGGGAACCAGATGGAACTGGTGCGAGCACTCTATCGACTGTTCTGTCTACCGGTCTGTCGAAGAAGAGGAGGCTGCGAGACATGAGGCGTTCGCAGAGGACTTGCGAAGCGCGAGAACGCTGGACGCCTCCAATCATAAGCCTGCTGCTCGAGAAGCATTTTCCTAAATAGTCAACGGTGTTACATTGCACCTGTACAGACGGCCGAAGCAACTGGTACTGCTTAATCGACCGCGCCTATGTACTTGGCTCTCACATCTTCTCGATGTCGTCGTTGAGTCAAGACCGTCAGGAGAACAGCCGGGCAACGAACCCCGCGCCTTGCTTGCGATACTCAAATTCAAACCGACCCCGTCTTGTGTTGCCCGATGGTCCATGGGAGAAAAGAAGTGGCCTCTCTCCTCCTGGCGGCGGAGCACAACCCCGGCTCGATGTGCATGAACCCCCCGGCTCCAACGGCATAAGCCAACGTCTGGACGTCCTCCATCAGCCAACCACACATCCTGCTGGTCTCATCACACCGTACATCTAAGCAAACATGACCACCTAATCGGTGCAACTCCCGTGGTACATCAAAATCTGGCTCGATGTCCGTCGTAGGATAATCTACTAGACGCTCTAGTTGCTTGCTCCCACATGTAATCCCCAGAACGCCAGCCAGTGCGAAAACTACATAACACTCGCAAACACTACCGAGATTCAAGATGCGGCAGGCAGGCTGTCTCGCCCTCCATCGCAGAGCATGCGAGGTCCCCGATGCGGTGACTCGAAATGGGTGGCTTGCTGATCGTTCGGTGGGAGTTCCCGAGTCTCTGGCTTTCGCATTGTTCTCGCAAACAATGACAAAACCTTTCCATTATACTCTGAACAGTCTAGGAAGAGGGAGCGAAAGATTGGCAGATAACGGTCTCGAACGCCTCATCGGAGGACTAGAGAAGCAATCATGGCTTGGCCTCCTATTTTCTTGCCTCGCTTTAAACACTCCGTGATATCCACTGTTGTGTTGATAGTCAGGGCCCCCAAATCCTCCAAAGGGAACACAGCCTGCAGCTTGTCCTGATCGTTTTGTATTGCACCACTTGAAGAAAGAATCATGCAATGGATTTGCCATGGACTGCGCCAGTACCGCCGGGCGAGGTGCGGACGGAGGTGGACCCGCCGACCCTGAAGGTGAAGCTATACTCGTGGGCGTTTGTGACGACGTTCATCGCGGGGACAACGGTTGGGCTGCGCATCTTTACGAGATTCTACGTCACGAGAACGCCGTTGAATACCGATGACTGTAAGCTGTTTCCTCAAAGAAGCTCTGCTGGTGTCTAACCTCACCGGCAGACCTCATTGTCATATCGTTGCTCTTTGCCATATCGACGATTGTCGTGCTCTTCCAGCGTAAGTCTCCGAAGCCCTCGGACGCAGGCCACGCTAACCATCCCCAGAGGTCGAAGTCGGATTAGCACATCACATGTGGGATATCCTCTGGGATGTGTACAACGTCCACAACACTGGGGTAAGCGCAGACTCCGTTGATAGTGTCAGGGTAACCGGTTGCTAACCTTTGAGTGTAGTGGACAATTGCCGCGACAATCGTGTATGCCCTCAGCATTAGCTTCTCTAAGCTATCCATTCTCTTCTTGTACCTGCGTCTGTCGCCGCAGGTATGGTTCCGCCGGGGCGTCTTTTTCCTCATCGGACTGGTCGTCAGCTACTCCATCGTCTACGTCCTCATCAACATATTTGGCTGCACACCGATCAGAGCCGGTTGGGACCTCAACATTGTGGAAAAGACTTGCGTGGATAAGTTCTCCATCTACCTGTCCCTCAGCATCGCCAACATCGCCATGGACGTCTTGATCCTGCTGCTTCCCATCCCCGTGGTTGTGCCGCTGCAGATGGCCAGGAGACAAAAGTTCTCCATCATCCTCCTCTTCGGAACAGGTGTCTTGTCAGTGCTCCGTCCCCTGAAACGCCACTCCCGAGATGTTTGCTGACAAGTCTCAACAGTGTCTGTGGCGTGGCCACCAAGCGGACCGTCCATCTCCCTAAGCTGCTTGCAAGCCCGGACTATACCTGGGACGCCGTCGAGGCGTTCATCTGGGGCTACTTGGAGCTCAATGCGGGCATGATCTGTGCCTCTGTGCCGGCGCTGAAGCCCTTCTTCATGCGGTACCTCCCGTCCTTCATCACCTCCCGACTCGGCAGCAGCAAGCGCGGGGGATCATCGCTGAACAAGTCCTCCAAGTCGCGCCTCAATACTGTCGTGGCACAGAACATGGAGCGTCGACGACGCCAGGATGAGTCGTACGAGCTCAGCTCGACGGACGGCAAGAGGGACGGCGTCGAGGACGACGAGACGAAACTGTGGTCGGGATACCAGAAGAATGTCAAGGCTGCCCTTGGTGGCCATGCTCGCGAGACTTCGAGGCAGGTCGACGACAACAGCAACAGCAGCGTGGACACGCTGGGTGAGATGACGGGCCCGCGCAGGGGTGACAGGACCGTTGTTGTGTCGGCTGAGAGCAGCGCACCGGGTGGGTGCGGTGAGGGATCGAATGGCATCATGGTGCGCCGCGAGACGACTGTGCAGCACGGCGCCTAGGCGTGCTCAGAGCGTCGATCTATTTGGATGTGTTGATAAAAGTTGTTGGCTTCTTTCTCTAGTTGGTGTGACGGAGGCGTGTCCAGACGCAGATTGTTGGGTAGTAGTTCGCGGTTAAGAGAAAACGCTCCGTACTAAGGCTCAAGGACATGTAACCATAATATTCTGTCCATCCACTTGCTGTTTGACGTTCGAGTCTGGTGCTGTTGTGCTTCGGACCCATCTCGGAGTTGGCAGCTCTTCAGAAGACGGATGCGAGGACTTCCTCCATCTTGCAGCGAAGTGAAACATGTGGGGAGAGTCGACGAGCATGACTTCATGCACAGCTGGCCATGGTACGTCTACTGAGTTGCTCAACGCACATTTGTAACAACTTTCAAGTCGAGAGACTGTCGGATATTGCAAGGACGATGGACTAATGCAGGAGGAAGGGCGCATAATAAGGTACACGAGATGATAAGCGCATTTGATAAGATAAGATAAGAAGGTGGGATGACCTCCAATCGAAAGTTTCGCCAAATAGAATACAACTGCGAAAGCTTCAGCAATCACCTCACCACACGCAGCCACCGTCGCGCCCATGAGCTTCCGATCGCTATGGGCGCGCGCACGAGGGAGCTTCCTCGGTGACACGGCAATCCGCCTGGTCGGCATTGCGACCTGGATCCCCGTCGTCATCTGGTTCAACGACCATGTCGCGACTGT